AGTAAAAACAATAATACAGAATTTCAAACCACACTGTCTTTAGATATCTTTTATAAATTTTTCTAGATCAATTGATTGTATAATCCCTTTGACAGTTACCTTCTTGGGCCCCAGAAAAGATTTACACAGGCAAGTGCCTGAAAGCTTGAGGAAAGTGCTGGGAAACAAGTCCAGAGATAAGATAAGTGGTGGAGGAAAAAAAAAAACCTGCTTTTTGCTTGCTATCCTTACCAGTGACAAGCCAGTGTACTTGATTCATCTTTTAGAAGAATTCAGCCAATCCTATCTGTCAGTGTCTTTAACAAAAAAAAAAAAAAAAAAAAAAGTCTGCAAGGAGCTGAGTTAAGCCAAATGTTTTTTGATGACTTCAGTATCTTAATTTACCCACTGGGACAGAGGGGCACAGTCCTGGCTTACCCTCAAATCATAGCAGTCCTGGAGGACCCTCAGTACTGAAGCCACACTGTCTAGGTTGGGTCTCCATAATTTTCTTTCAATATTTTCTTAATGGAAATCACAGAACTAACATCCTTACTTCAGAAAAACAAAAAACTTTCTCTTTTGGAATAAAAACTACCACAAACTAATTTATTCAGCATGTAGTGATATGGGATGATCGCATTTTATATGTGAGAAGGTTTCAGATGAAATAATTTTTTGGAACAAAGAGTGATGTGGATTTAGAATAACAAAGTATTTTAACTTTATCTCATGGGTTTTTGTTGCATAAGAGTTATATACCTTTTAAAGTATGTTACTTATTCTCAGCTGGATTAATTAAATATAGAGTCCGCTCTGCAGTTAGAAGATTCTAAGGACTGTAGAATACAAAGATCAGAAAAAAATTTAAGATCATTACTTGATCTTCAACATTTACAGTCTTGATCCTGATAGTTATGTATTAGTAGGTGATTCTTCTATGTTACTGTGATTTTTAAATCTAATAAGAGAATGTGAGGAGGGCCTGGGGATTTAGCTCACCGGCATAAGCGCCTGCCTTGAAAGCAGGCAGTCGTGAGTTCGATCCCTGATACCAATAAAAAGGAAAAAGACAAAAAAAAAAAAGAGAGAATGTGAGGAAACACCAAGTATATATTACTTTTATAATAAAGTTTTAAATTAAACAACAGTATGCTTTTTGCTTTCAATCAATCCTAAACCAAATACTTTAGGCACTGATCCATACCTTTAGAGAGTTTATGATTCAGATGTAGAGAAAACCTAATATTAAACACTAGCAGCAAACACTATGAAGTAGAATAAAATTACATGCTATTGTTTAAAATGTAGGCTACATATGATTTAGAAATAAGTACAGAGGTGAGAGGAGGTAGGAAAGGTGTACTGTCCACCAAGACTCTGTTGAAGGACCCAGAGAAAGATGGACTAGAGGATGATAAAAGGAGATATCACTGATAAAAGCAGTGTCAGAATTTTCACAGATCTAAAGGTGGCCTTTTGGTTCCTGGGTATTTTATTATAATCATGTCATCTGCAAATGGGGTAGCTTTATTTTTTCTTTTTATCATATGTACTTTTATTTGCTTTTCATGTCATATCATGTCCCTTAAAGTTCTTACACTGTATTGGTTGAATCTGGTGAGAACTGACATCTTTACTTTGTTCCCAATCCAGGAAAATAGTTGGCCTTTCATTACAAAGTATGATATTTGCTGTAAGTTTTTGCATGTTTATCAATTTCGGCTCCTAAATTTCTCAGTGTTTTGTGTTTTAGAATATATTTTATCATAGTATATGTTCTGTGGCACTTGAATATTATTCTGCTGCCGTTAATTGGTGTACAAATATTGATCAGATCCTATTGCTAAATGCGCCTCAGTTCTTCTGTATCTTTGTGATTTTCTATCTAATCATTCTCTCAGTTTTGAGAGAGCACAATTAACGGTAGGCAGCTTAATTGTGGACTTACCTACTTCTCCTTCCATATCTATTGATTTTTCGTCCACCTATTTTATAACGCCACCGTTCGGTGCATACATAGTTAGGGTTACCATGTCTTCTTGATAAATTCACCCTTTTCCTTTTTTTAATGTCCCTCTCATTCTTTGGTAATTTTCTTTGCTCTGTAGTCTGTTTTGACAATCCAATGCCTATTTTTGTTTCCTTTGATCAGTATTTATGTGTTATATCATTTCCATTCCTTTACTTTCAACTTGCCTGTATGATTGTATCTGAATTTTCTTACATACATTTTAATCTAATCTTTAAATTGCTTTGTTCATACCATTTACATTTTATGTAATCATTGATGGGTTTGGGTTTAAATCTGTCCTTTATTTTTTCTTTTCTGTTTGTTTAGTTTTTCAAGTCTCTGTTTTCTTTTTCCTCCATTCTTATATGTTATTGAAACATTTTTAGAATCTCACTTTGATTAAACATACTGTATTTTATTGTATCTCTGTATAGCTTTTTTGTGGTAAAAACCTTAGTGTGGCCTACTGCTAGGTGGTATAGAAAGCCCTAAATCTCCATTAGTCCTACTTATAATAAAAGGATGTAAGTTCAGGCTTGTCAGGCATTCTCCATTGATACTACAGAATTCAGCTTGCAATGGAAACCCCATCCTCTCAAGATAAATTCTCAGCTCCCTCCTTAAGCATCTCTGACATTACCCTTATGACAGACAAACAGGGGGCTTCATTACAGCCTGAAAGGAGGAAGTCTCAAACTTTGGAGGTAGGATTGTGACTCAGTTTTTCTGAGTTTGAATGAAGTGGGTAATCTCCAAGTCTGGAAAATGAAGTAAAAAGTTAACCCAAGGAGCTCAGCTCTGTTTTTCTTTGGACCTGAAAGCCCCTTGCTTGTCCTCTATCTTCTTTCCACCTTGGGTAAGGAGTGTTATTTTTCATTGTAAAGAACTAGCTCATGTAATTATGGAGGCTATTAATTTCCAAGAACCACAAGGTAAATTAATGTATTAGTTGTTTGTTGCTGTAATAATATTCCCAAGGAAATCAACTTAAGAAAAAAAGTTTATTTTGGTTCAGATTTCAGAAGTTTCAGTCTATGGTTGCTTGGATCCCTTGTTTCTGGGTCTTTGATGGGGCACATCATCGTGCAGAGGGTCAGTGGGGCAGAACTGGTCACTTCATGGCAGCCAAGTCAAATTTTCAACACATGAGCCTTTGATGGACATTCTAGACCCAACTGTAACCATTGGCAAACTAGAGGCCCAAGACAGGTGATGGTTTAGTTTCAGTCCAAAGCCAAGGATAATTTTTTCTTATTCAGAGAAGGGTCAAGCTTTTTACTTAGCTGATCAAATGAGTCCCACCCACTTTGTTAATAGTTGTCCTGGAAGGGGCTGGAGATTTAGCAAGCAGGCAGTCGTGAGTTCGATCCCCGGTACCGATAAAAAGGAAAAAGACAAAAAAAAAAAAAAATAGTTGTCCTGGAAGACAGTATGCATTGTGGAAAGTAAGTACCTTCTGGTTGCCACCTTTCTTCAAGATAGCTTCATAAACAGGAAAACAGTTATAACTAATTTTTTTCTGATTCTTATAATAAGACTTTGTTTTTCCATTGTGGAGAGACAAAGAAGATCCAAACTTGGAATTTATCCTGACCTATAACCTTTTGTCACAATCTTAACATTTTCCCTGGAGCCAGCACCGAGGTATCAAGGGCTGGCTGGGTTCTGGCTTCACTCTCCAGGGTAGACTTTGGTCTAAGAAACCTTATATAGCAAGTGTGTGGCCTGGGGGACATTACTTGACTTGTCTAAACAGTAGTATTATTAACCGAGAAAAGGACTTCATATATACAAAATCAGTAGTTACGTTGTAAACATTAGATAAATGTATGTGAAGCCCAATGTTAAATGTAGTAATGCTCAATAATGATAGTTCTCATCACATATTGTTGTCATCCGATGATTTTGCTAAGAGGTAAACTTTTGGAGATGTGGTAAAGGATTGTTTTAGTTACTTTTTTCCTTACTAAGGAAAAATACCTGACACCACAAGTTAAAGGAGAAAAGATGTATTTCAGTTCACCGTTCATAGAGGATTCAGTCAAGGGCCAGCTGGCTGTAAGGCAAGATGGCATAACAGAGGGCATCACACAAGAGAAACAGTTCATAGTGTGTCAGGCAGGAAGCAGCAGCAGTCAGCAAGCGACAGCAACCTGCCTCGTTCTGTCCCTTTATATTCCGTCCAGTCTGCAAGCCTACTCCATTATCACCACTCTTAATCCACATTCATATACCCTAAATGTAGCCACCTCTGAAAAGCCCATTTATGACCATGTGAGGCTTTGAGGGACTTCTAAATATAAGGCTTAGCAAGGATCATCAAGAGGGAAGGAGATGGAAGCAATGGTATTTAAATTAATTAAGGTATATTAAATGCATGTACCAACTCCCTAAAACAAACCACATCATTATATAATATTAACATACACTAGACTGGAGTTTTTCCTACACCAAAGTTTTCAACAGTGAAAGCTTTCAGTTTGATCCATTTAGTATGACGTTGACTATTGTTTGTCAAAGATAGTTTTTATCACATTGAGATAAAGACTGTTGTTTTCTGTGGAGTTTTTATCATAAACAGGTCTTGGACTTTGTTAAATGCTTCTTAAATGCTTCTTCTGCATCTACTGAGATGATCATTTGTTTTTTGTTCTTGGCTCTGTTAATATGGGATATTACTTTTATTGATTTGCATATGTTGAACCATTCCTGCATCCCTGGTCATGATATATAATCATCCTGATGATTTGCTGCATTCTTTCGCTAGTGTTTTATTGAGAATTTTTGCATGTGTTCATTAGTGAGATTGGCCTATAGTTCTCTTCTTGGGTTGGCTCCTTCTCTGGTTTTTGGTATCAGGATAAGGCTTTCTGCCTCCTTAAATTCAATCTCTTAGAGAAAAAATTCTAAATTAAGACACAGAACCTTTTAGAACGGTGGTACAAGTTGTACCAAGGTATGAAACAGAAAGACATTTTTAAAAATTTTCAATTATTTTGTTTCCTAGAGTCATCAGATGGTGAAGGAGGAGGAGAAACAAAAACGATACATCAGGAGACAGCTGCAGTTCCTGCATCATCAAAAAAAACTGAAAAGGTGATAGTTACTGGGACAGGTGCACTTCCTGGGTTCTGAAATAAGCCTCTGTCACTCTGCAGTATTTCTTGTGCCCTAAGATCAGTTGTCGCTCTGATTTTGGGAAAGCTCTTCTCTTCTCCACCTTTGAAAAGGCCATGATTTCTTAATTATCAACCAGCAAAGTCTATATCCTTCTATTTTTGTTTGTGTTCTTTATACTGTAAGTATAATTCATAAGAATGATATTTAGATTGTCATTGTCATTGAAGATCCAAGCTTATTATTTTGGGTACAGTTCCTTAGACAAGACAGATACCATACAGATATGAAACCTCTTCCTACAAATAACCTATGAGTATGCTACCATGCTATGCTGTCAGCTGGTTTCCAGGTCTTTATTTCTACCTAGCGTATGGTCATAATATGCCTTTTTACCAGGGGATTTGCTGCCATGCTTTAGTCCAAATTGCTATTTGGAATACGTTTTACTTCCTGGACCTAAGTTTTTATTGCTTATTAAGTCTTTTTGCTGACCTCTGTAATGCCACTCACATCCATTTGTAGCTTTTTTCCATTGTGTCCCTCAAACATAATTAGTAAATTTATGTTGACGTTTAAAGAACTGGCTACTATCAATCCAAATTTCAGTCATCCTTACAGTAAAGATTTTCGGTCTTATAGTTTTGTGCTAAATTCATTCCACAAGAAGTGACTTTTCCCAATGTTTGTGACCAGGCTTAGGATAACCATGAGAAGCAACGTAACACAGTAGTTCTTTACCACCTCTTTGACCTTGGGACTTACTAGTAAAATGATGGTAACAATTATAACTTCCTCACAGAATTACATCGGGATCAAATGAGTTACTACATATGATGCACTTCAAACTGTGGTCTGCAAAGAGTAATCACTCAAATTTTCATTATTATACTAAAATATATTGCATTTTTTCATTTTGTTCATTAATGACCTAAAGGTTAACTTCTTTAGATTTTCAATTCATTTCTTCAAGATGGAATTTAATTTTACCTTAATTTTTTCCACTGACCACACCATGACCATGCATTCTCTGACATTTTCCTCTAATCAGTGCCCTGCTGATAGAATTTATTTCCAAATATCTTTTTTTCACACCCTATTTGCTTTCTTTTTCCTTACTTTTTTCTTTAAATTCATTTTGTTTACTTTCTCTCTTGCATTTCTTGCTCCTTCTTTACTTTTTCTGGGCCCACTGGTTAAAGAGTAATTTCAAATTAATAAATTCACACATGCCTGCCTGCATCATTACTTGTTTTCATTTATTGACCTACATTGTTGCTAAATTTCTGCATGGTTTTGTTTTTTTTGTTTTTTTTTTTTTGTCTTTTTCATTTTTACCGGTACCGGGGATCGAACTCACGACTGCCTGCTTGCAAAGCAGGCGCTTATGCCGCTGAGCTAAATCCCCAGCCCCCCAATTTCTGCATTTTTTAGCTCCTTTTCTCCTAGGCGTTTCTTTTCCCATAGCTATTAAGTTAAATAAGTGAAACACAACTATAGAAAAGGAAAAAATGGGAGAGGACAAAGTTAAATACATTCCCAGTTCTGTGACCATTTCCCTATCTTTGGCTACCCAGATTTCAAAGACAATGAAGGCCTTTTACTGAGCAGTTATCACAGGCACTGTGCAAGGCACACTTTAACTCACATAATCTTTACAGTACCCTATGAGGTTAATAATCTCCCATTTTACAAAAAACCTGAACTCCCAAAACTAATTTTAATAGTCATGGCTAGAACCAGGAAAGCTTAAGGGTTTACTGCCTATTTTATCACCTTCCTTTTGCTCTAATCTTTTCACTACCAAATTCCTCTGAAGTCCTAGGCAGATAAAACGCACTAATAATCCCTTCCTCCAACTCACTTCTTTCCCTGTCCAGGTAACTCTCCTCTAACCCTGAATTTGTATAGGAATCTGTTTGTGACTCTTCGCTTCATATGAGTGTTGTCCATCCAAATCTGCCCACCAAATCGGAATACCTCACAAACAGTGTTTGCTTGTGTATCTTCACAGCACTAGCACAGAAGTCCCAAATTGGCACTCATTTGTGAAATGAAGAAATGACTACAATGAAGGATGACTATCCACTATCCCAGCTCTCTTAGCACTCACCCATTTCCACCCCGTCTGTCCAAGCTTATGAGCAGTCAGCTCCCTGACAGCCACTTGCAGAAATCTCTTGGAACCTTATGACCTGGAAACCTTCCTGCAACCCCATACTTGGCCTGCCCAACACAGGTTCCTCTCTTTTTTTTTTTTTTTAATTTTATTTAAAGAAAGACTAAACTAAACAGAAAATGGGTAGAAATAATACATGCATTCAGAAAAAAAATAAACAGTAAGAAATCACTAATTGATGTTTACATACTGTCCTTTTACAAATAGTTTTTCAAAATACAAAAGTGAAACATATAAAGTGGGAATTCAAATAGTGAGACAGCAAACAGTTCTGTTCAACTATCCAACAAAAACATAGTAATATGGTTGTCAATCCTATGTACTTAAACCTACATGCAGTTATCTATATCTTCATTTATGTTGAGATTAAACAAACTAAAGCAGGCTAAAATCATTCTGAACAAAGAATAATAGTATTGCTCTTCTTATCCATGGTAGTGTCTCTGCTCTATCCTTCTTATGTCAGTCTGTTCTTGCATAACAAATTGCCCAAAATGTAATAGTTTAAAGCAGACAAAATGCATTATCTCACTGTTTCTGTTATCTCACAGACATAATTTAGGTCTGAGCATCTGGTGTGACATCTTTCATCACCAGCCAGTCAAATTCCAGGTTGGGGCAGGGGCTAGCTAGAAAAGACCATCCTGGAGCTCTCATATGTGTAGTTGGCAGGCCTTAGTCCTTCTTTATGAGCCTGCCACATTGTTGTGTCACAACGCTGCAGCTGGCTTCCCTGTCCAGCTGATCCAAGAGGGTGAAAGCTAGAGGCCTCAAAACAGAAACCACAATCTTTGTGTGATCCATTCTCAGAGGTGACATCTCATCACTCCTGCCATTTCCTGTTATGAACAAGTCAGTAAATCCAGTCCTCATTCAAGGGGCAATGGATACAAAGAGATAGAGATGAGAGTTGGGCATTATTGTGGGTTCTGGCCACAGTCTTTCCTCAGGGATCTAATGATACATAGCTCTCCATAAGCAGAATACATTCATTATCTAAGGCTTGCAAAAGTCTTGTCCCATTACAGTATGAGCTCAACTTCAGAGTCTCATCAACAAAATGAGATCTGAATACAGTTGAGGTTTCCAGGATTTAGTTCCCTAAGCCAGTGTCTCAGTACATTTGTTCTCAATTTAGAAAACTAGAGACAAGTTATCTCTCACACATAGCCAACACACAATGGTGGAACAGGTATAGAATAATCACTTTTCGCACTTCTGTTCAAAAAGAGGAGAAATAGGAAGCTGCAGGAATCATTGGATCAATAAGGAAAATGTTCAGAGTTTGTTGATTAAGTCTCAAAGCCCAGGAATAATTCTCTATGTCTCTTTGCTCTGCCATTTGAGCACTTTGTTCTTCCCTTTGAGCCATCCTTTTATTAATGGAAAGTAGCAGATCTTTGCAATTAAGCAGGTCTTTCAATCTGTATCTTGACATTCTGAAGTTCCAAAGAGCTCTCTTCATTTTGCTCTTTGAACTCTCAGTCCAAATGAATGGTGTTCCTGCTTCTGTAACTCCTTTAGAAACTGTGTGGTCCACATGTTATTCTTGGGGGAGGGGAGTGTTTATTCCATGAGGCAGAAATCAAATATACAAATTTTCTACTTTGAGTCCCTGCTGAAACAACTGGTAGACAAAACACTGCTAAGCTTTTCAGAGGCACATTAAGAAAATATCTGAGGCGTACCCTTTATTTCTTCAAAGAGTTCTTGTATGACTGAGTAATACAGTATCCCTCTTATACCATTTATGATTTTATTTCTGTGGTTTAAAACTGCTATATGGAAAATTCAAGAAATAAATAATTTATAGGTTTTAAACTGTACCATTCTAAGTCACATAATGTAATCACTTTTCTTTTTTGTCTGTCTTTTTGAGACAAGGCTTCACTCTGCAGTTCAGGCTAGCCTTGCATTTGCTTTGTAGCACAGGCTATCCTGGAATGCACAGTGATCCTCCTGCCTCAGCTTCCCAAGTGCTGGGATTATAGGCATGTGCTACCATGCGTAGCTACAGTGTCTTAAGGATGAATGTAATACACTAAGGTATTTTGTGAGTACATTCATGAAACTTTTATTATAGTCTATTATTATTCTATTTTATCAGTCATTATTAATGTCTTATTGTGTCTGATTTATACATTAAACCCTATTAAGGTATATGTAGGGGGAAAAAGCATAATATACATATATATAGATAGATACATATATATGGCTTGGCACTATCCATGCTTTCATTGTCTACTGGGGATTTGGAATGTATCCCGAGGAGCAAAAGAGACCTACTGCACTCTAAGGTACCACCTTTGTTCTTTCTGAAATTTTAATAAATGGTGACTGAAATCACACTCTTAACCTCTTTTTAACAGTCCCTAAAATTTAACTCCCTTCTTTCATATTTTGCTGTAGGCTCCAGGAAAAAATTAGATAGCTGCTTCAACACAATGTGGAAATTTCCTCACCTATATTAGCAGTCTCATTGGACACATTTTCTGCTTTCCATGTAACTGCAGAAAACAGCATTGCTAAACTTTCTAGCACTGCATGGGAAAGAGGCTCCTTTCTCCTTCTTTCAACTGTCAGTGAGTTCTTTCTCACTTTCTTCAAAGTCTAGAATTTTTTGAAATGTGGCACATTAGTATGCTTAGTCACACTTTTTCCACCCCAAAAAATGAAGAGAGCTGTTTGGAACCTCAGAATGTCAAGATACTGCTCAACTGCAAAGATCTGCTACTTTCCATTAATAAAACGATGCCTCAAAGGGAAGAACAAAGTGCTCAAATGGCAGAGCAAAGAGACA